AAAGGAAAAATTGAAATCACATCATATGACCCCTTTAATGTTTATTTCAAGTTTTTTTTATGGCTTTTGTTTTAGTTTTAGTTAACGATAATATGCTTTAGATGCAAAAAGATGTAAATAATGCACAAACATATATTATGTAGTCCAGCGTTTATGGATGAATACGAGAAGATCGAGGAGGACTTGCAGAAGCAGTACCAGACGTACGTGGAGAAATTCCGTAACGTGAGCTTCCTGGAGCAGCAGCTAGATGACTATCACAGAGCCGAGCAGGAACGCTTCGAGGTACAATCAGTGCAATGCATCCGAACTTCTCTCTGGTGCTCGTATGAGGCCTATACCTAAACCATATCATTAATTCATCTAGCTAAAAATACAAAAAAACAAACAACAACGAATGAATCTCATGAAAGCTATCAAGAGCATGTTTTCTGTCTTATTTCACCCAAAATCACCTGCTTTTGTCTTCCAGGAAGCAGAGATGGCAATGAAAATGAGACAAAACAAATTAAAAGAGGAGGAGAAGAGGCTCATGAGGAGTGGAGGTTGGTCACACACACATTTGAACACGTTTGTCAAAGATCTCTTATGCGTTCTCCTCCTCTGCAGCAAGAGATGAAGACTCCGATGTGGACATACCAGAGGATGAAGGATCTGACAGCGACATCGATGAGGGACAGCAGCCCAGACCACGACACGCACAGATATCAGGTGATGGCAGAAGTTCAGCATGAAGCTCTACATAATCTGCAGCCGCGCTCACACGTGTGACATATGCGAGTATCTGATTGTTCTTGTTTCCGCTGCAGGTCGAGGTGGCACTCGATTCATTGGCAGTATGAGGGCTGGAGACAGTGATGAGGTAAAAACACGGATTCAACTAAAACAATGTCATTTTATTGTTATTTATATAATATTATTTAGGAATATTTTGGATTAGCTTTTATTTTTATATTTTCAGTTTTCATTTTCGATAAAGCTTTAGAATTTTAATTTTTTAATTTCTATTTAGCATTCATTTATTTCAGTTTTGGTTTTAGTAATTTTAATACTTCAATTTAGACGTATTTCAGTTAGTTGCCAAGGCAAGATTTCTCATTTTTGTTTTGTTTTTGTATTTCAGCTTCATTTCAATTACCGAAAATTAGTTTTAGTTAACAACACTGAACCAACATATCAATATAGTTTCTTCTGTGATATTCTTCAGATTTTTCATATTATTAAGCCGATCTTGGTTTCCTAGGCTTTCTTTCTTCATGTTTCCATGTTTTTCCTCCATGATCGTGTATAACTTTATCTACAGTGACTGTGCTTTCGTTTTCTTTTCTCAGTATATATGCCGCCAACTCTCATTTCATTCACTCCATTTTCACTCCATCTCTTTCTCTTCCTCTGCACTCGTTCTTCAAGCCCAGAGTAAAGGAACGAGTCCATCTATCCGGCAGCGGCCGGAAGAAAAAGAGAAGAAAGGTGGTGCGTGCGTCAGTGTTATTTTAGTATTATTATGCTATTATTGTATTTTTTTTTTAGCTTTTATTTTTATATTTTCAGTTTTCATTTTATTTTGTTGTGCGTGTCATTTTTATTATTTTTTTTAATATTTCTGTTTAGCTTTATTTTTATTTTAGTTTTAGTCATTTTAGTATTTAAACTTAAGTATTAATTATTAATTAGTAGCCAAGGAAACATTTCT